TCTCTCTCTCTCTCTCTCTCTCTCTCTCTCTCTCTCTCTCTCTCTCTCTCTCTCTCTCTCACACACACACACACACACACACCCACACCCACACACACACGTACATGTACTAGCGAGCTATTCTCTCTTTTTTTGGTTGGATATGTCTTGTTGGTTTTCATGATTATACACGGCCTAATTCTTTGCCCTGCTTTAGAGCATGGGCTGTTTTTTTTTTTTTTTTTTTTGAAGAATCGGCCCCATGGGACAGCTTGAGATGCTGGTAGGAGCAGTCGCCTCAAGCTATCCGGGGGTGGCTCCATCTATTGGTGGGGAGCAGCACCTGCTGAGAAGCGGGCCCAGCGTCCCTTGTTACAATTATTCAATATAGCATTCACATCGAAGTAGTTTGGACCATGTAGGGGCAGTGACCATGGGCTGTTTGAATGTTTACGGGTGACCACCAGTTCTCTTCGGGGGAATGTATGTTTTGTGGGCTGGCGTGGAAGGCTTTCCCAGTTTTTTCGGACCCTCGGTGCGTTCTTGCTGGAGTCTTCTCCCTTGGGTAAGTTATCTCTCATCTTCTTCCTCCTCTTTGGCAGTGATGCGAGTGTGTAGTTTGAGATGAATGTCCGGAATGCCAATGCTGTTATATTTGATTTTTTTTGGTAAATGAGTTTTTGGTTTTGTGGGACGATGTGGAAGGCTCTCCAAGTGTTTTTCGGACCTTTGAGGGGGCCGGGTCGGTGCCTTCTTGCTGGAGTAGTCTTTTGTCTTAGGTAAGTTGCCTTCTGCCCTCCATCCCCTTATGGTTTGAAATATATATGCATCCCTACACTTATAGAAATGGGCATTCGGTAAGTGAGATTTGGCCGATTCGGGCCGCCCGTGGTCTACCGGCCGACGGTCGGGATTTCCGCGTGATCTAAAGACTTTAAGACTTTAAGATCGCGCGGCGATCCAGACCGTCCGCTTTGCCGAACAGCCTGGATCGTCGCGCGATCTTAAAGTTTTAAGATCGTGCGGAAATCCGGACCGTTGGGGTGGTAGGACCACGGGCGGCCCAGATCGGAGCGCCCATTGGAAATAGGGCCCATTGCAGGGCGGCGTTGTGGCCCGTTGCAGGGCGGCGCTTTCCCTGCATTGAAGTCCAACGGGCCCTCCCGCCTGCCCACCTCGACTCCGCCACCGGCTCCCACCTTCCACCCCCCCCCCCCCCCCTTCCGCCTCCTCCAGCCATCCCCCCTCCGCCACCACCCACCATCTCCTCTCCGCCACCACCCACCATCTCCTCTCCGCCTCCGCCCACCATTTCCTCTTCGCATGATGTACAATTTACGCAAAAATTTACGTTTGGTTGACAACATTTCAAAATAGTTCCAATAGATGGCAATTTACGCAAAAATTATAGTAGCAAGGAAGATGAGCAATAGCGAACTTCAGCAATCAAACAACATCATACATATGAGTCCAGATAGTCTTGACCTCGAACCAACATCAGAATTGCATCACGAGATTCACCAAATAAGAACACACCATAAGTTCATAATTGACAATGCTGAATTAGTCCCATCATCATCAACGAAGAACCAGAGTTGATATCATATCCGGCGCTCGGCGCCCAGACTACATGTGGCAGATCCTATCTAGCCTATACTACGAAGCCGAAAGATGACATCAACAACATTCCCGAAGTGCGAGCATATGGCGACCAATGTCGCACGCTTCCAGCACCAGGTATGTCTCGCGCTACACTCACAACCTCGTTCCCCAACTCACTGATCCAGGGGCAATTTAACGTCCGCCCCCAAGTGACTCCAGGAATTATTTTACGTCACAGCCGGACGACAATCACAGTCGATGGTTCCCCTTCCCGTGTTTATTTATAGACGTTGGGTGCTCGTCTTTCCTGTAGGGCTGGCCTGCCCAGTGGTACCCATCTAACAGCGCAGCAAGCCGAACAAAGGACAAGCAGCTAGGCATGCGTGCTCTACTCCCTGTGGGTTGGCATGGTGACCGTGACCCAGTGCTTCGTCCAGGGCCCTTCAGAAAGCTTCGCCCATCTCCACCCRRATGYTCCACRWGAACATTGCCGACTCTCAAGGTTGAGCGCACTCGACACCTCACGATGAGAGGACTCTCAAGAAGGAACACACAACCTCACGGTAAGAAGTGTTGGAGAGGGAAGATAAGGTTAAGAGCAGCGTACCTCATTTAGCTGCCCCCAACCACAGAGATAATCTCACCAGATGACCAAATGGCGATTGCGATGACCAGTCACTGCATCGGCATAACCAGCATTATCTCGCCGTTCCACCTCAGCATCAATCGCACATTAGATAGTTATCATCATATTGTCCAGACCACGTTCACCTCATATAGCCTTCCTGGTGATCCCCTCACCTCCTGGGTCGCCAACACACTCGTCTCCACCCCTCCTCACTACACACCACTTACGGCCAAACTCGCCCAGCAGACCGCATGTATGTACCGCATAAGGCAGAAGACAAGTGCCAGATAAGCGCAATCGTACCACAACTCCGATACCAAATTGCAAGGAGGATGAGCAATAGCGAACTTCAGCAATCAAACAGCATCATACAAATGAGTTCAGCTAGTCTTGACCTCGAACCAACAACAGAATTGCATCACGAGATTCACCAAATAAGAACACACCAAGAGTTCGTAATTGACAATGCTGAATTAGTCCCATCATCATCAACGAAGAACCAGAGTTGATATCCTATCTAGCGCTCGACGCCCAGA